AGATAACGTAAATCAAACAAGACAAGCTCAAATACGTTTCTAGAAGACAACTTACCAGGTACAATTCCTTCCTCTACAGCAGCCTTGGTGGCGTTTAGGGCATCAGTTACTCTATCCTTCTTTTCACCAACTTCTGCTTCGCTAGCTCCACCAATCTACAAAGTAAATCTCAATCAGACTTGTTTTCAGTACAAACAGTGATTCGAATAAGATGTTTTAGAAGTAAAATCTGTCACCCTCAATTCTAGACCAATAGAAGGGACAGAAAACATTAGCCAATTTTCGGAAGGAAAACCAACCTTCAAGACGGCAACACCACCAGAAATCTTTGCAAGGCGCTCTTGTAACTTCTCTTTGTCATAATCAGAAGTGCTCAATTCAATTGATGATCTCAGCTGTCACAACAATCATGGTCCACCATATCACGTTAACAAACACAATGCAACACGAAATGGTTGGTTGAATAGATTAAAGAGAAAGAATCAGCATAAAACCTGTTCACATCTTTCTTCAATGGCTTTCTTGTCACCAGCCCCATCAAGTATGACGGTGTCATCTTTTGATACCGTAATCTACAATACCAGACTGCACATGTCATTAAATATTTCAACTTATTTAGATCAGAAACTTAGACACCACGATTAGTAACATATGCTAAAACAACAGTTGATAACTTGAGGTATACATCTCACCCTTTTGCATGTTCCAAGTGTTTCTACTCCCACTTTTTCGATGTTCAGACCAAGCTCTTCAGTTATTACCTAGAACCCCAAAAGAAAAAGAAAACAAAGTGGTTCACGTGTCAGCCTTACAATTATGAAACTTTTTGAGAACAAGTGAAGAAAACAAATTAATTACCTGGGCTCCCGTAAGAATGGCTAGGTCCTGCAAATTTGCCTTCCTGTTTTCTCCAAATCCAGGGGCTTTAATTGCACAAACCTTCAAACCCATCAACAGAATCATATCAGGACAATGAAATAATAGTCAGTTAACACTTTTTAACAGTGGAAACAGTTGGTATACAACAAAAATATAAACATCACCTTAATTCCAGCACGAAGCTTGTTTATAATGAGTGTCGCTAGAGCTTCACTTTCCACATCTTCCGCAACAATCACAAGAGGTCTTTGTTTCTGAGAAAACACATAAAATCAGTCAATTCAATCAGAGAAGCACATAGCACATTCAAAAGATTCCAACAATACCACCGAAGGAACCCTAACCTGCAAGGCCAACTCTAATATTTTCACTATAGAATTTAGATTTGAGAGTTTCTTCTCATGGATCAGGATGAGTGGGTCTTCTAATTCCTGTAAAAATCAAGACCTCTGGTTAGTAATCACAATGAAGCAGTTTGAAAAAAAAGTGTGATAACTAACCTTTTGGACAATTTAAGAAAACATCCTTCAAAGAACCATGAAACTAGAAAAGTGACAAATAATGACAAAGTGCTTACACATTTTTGGTTCTTCGGATTGGTGATAAAATAAGGGGATATGTAACCCCTATCCAGCTTCATTCCTTCAACGACCTCCAACTCGTTATACAGTGTTTTTCCATCCTAAAACAATTCAACAGGAAAACAACATTCGCATAAGATTGTCTGGAGGATGCATAGAAGCTCCAATGTTGCCACCACACCATAATACGATACTACTCACAGAAAAATATTGGAAAGAGAAAGATTCAAAGGAAACAACTTACAGCTATGGTAATAACACCCTCTTTGCCAACTTTCTCCATAGCCTTAGCTATTAGCTCACCAATTTCCCTCTCTCCGTTTGCTGATATTGTACCAACCTATTCAGGAAAAAGAATTCAAATGAGCTACAAAGTCATTGCTAAAAATTTAGCCATTTATTTTAATTCTCTCAATTCTCAAATTAAAACAAAACAAACCTGAGCTATTTCTTCAGATGTGCTGATCATCCGAGCCCTACTCTTCAAGTTTGCAACAACGGAATCAACTGCCATTGAAATGCCTCGTCTTAGGTCCATAGCATTCATTCCAGCCGCCACTGACTTGCATCCTTCAGTAAATATAGCGCGGGTAAGGACTGTAGCACAAGTGGTACCTGCAAACACAAGTAACAACGTTTGCATCATGGCTTCTTGATCAGCCAAAATTTTACACACTTGAACACAAAATGTAAAGAACTCTCACCATCTCCTGCTGCATCATTTGTAGCATTTGCAACCTGCTTTACAAGACTAGCACCAATGTTCTTGACTTTATCTTTGAACTCAATACTCTTTGCTACAGTGACACCATCCTTTGTCACTTTAGGGGCACCAAAGCTTTGTTCTAGAACAACATTGCGTCCCTATGAAAATCAAGCATCACCAACAAACCATCATAATAAGTCAGATGGAACTGAAGACTGAGGAAACAAAGAAACAAACTTCATTCGCTACTTAAAATTGCAGGAATTACCAAAATATATAAACAAAATACGATATCCAACAAATCTCAGAGTTCATAAGATAACACATACGGAAGTGAAATGGAATTACATCCATAGATCAACAAGATTTAACAATAACTCAACGCAACAAATTCCCACCAATATCCAGATCATTGTTCCCAATCATAACAAGATATGCAATCAATCAATATAAGCAAATCGAGAATGATAAAGTCACCCACTTTTGGCCCCATTGTGACTTTAACAGCATCAGCGAGCTCTTCCACACCCCTAAGCATCCCGGCCCGGGCTTCAACACCGAATCTGATTTCTTTCGCCGCATAGTTCCTTCTCGAAATCAATTTACTACCAATCTGAACAGTAAACAACAAAAACTCCACATCAAAACACACTTAAAGCAATAACAAATCACAACTACAAATTGATAAGGAAAAACAAGTACCTGTTGAGAACTGTTCCTAGCCACCCTGCAACCACAAAGCAATGAAAAGTCAGAAAAATGAGAGCGACCCAGATCAGAAAACAATCAAAGACGGTGACTTTTGGGGACAAGTTCGAATTTTGACACAAGGCAAGATGGCATTACATACCTGGCTTTGGAGGCAAGGTTAGTGGCGAAGCGATACATGATTGATGAAGTTGCAGAGCACCTTAGAGAGAGAAAGAAGATGGGCAATCAGGCGAAAGCGAGGTGAGAGTGAGAGAGAGAGGGAGAGCAGGAGAGTATAAATTGAGCAGCAGGAGAAGGGTCTAGAAGCATTTGGTTTATGTTAGGGTTTAGGGTTTTGGGGACGGGTCGGGGACGGCAAGGTCCAGTAACTAGGAAATATTGCCGAACGCCAAGACCCTGGTGGGCTTTCTACGCAGGCCTGTTTACCTGAATTTTCTTTTTCTTTTCAATTCATCGTGTAGTCAAAAGAAATTCATAAATTCGTTCACATCATGTATTTATATTAAATACTTTCAACATTATCTTCAAGGGAGGAAACAGTTGGATAGCAAAATTAAATTTGATATGCCACGTAGAAAAAACGCATTTTCAAAGGTATTTTATTCAAACGTATTGTTTGGTAAAGAATTTGAAAATAGAATTTAGGCCCACAAGATTAAACAAAGTTTTATTTTCTTAGGAAAGATTAAATAAAGATAAAATTTGAAAAGTGTGTTAGGGTGATAAACTTTTAAAGTAATAAAAGTGCCAAATGATTAGCAAAGGACACTTTCAAAGAAAATTTTTAACCAAGATCCTTTCCTGAGCAATTCCCTAGGAATCCTAGGATCCTGCAATCTTATTCGTTCATCATATATCGTGACCCAATAAAACCAGGATCCTCTCAAACCTAGCAAGGCCTGATGGAGGATTTTGCCCAACAAAACCAGATAAGGAATAATCCCGCATATAATAATCCTTATTATCGTGACCCAATCATAAGCCACAGTAGGCTTCCCTAAAGGAAACTCTTAATTGTTGCCCCCATCACATCTCCTTAATTCGCTTAATGGGCGGTAATAGGGGCTTAAACCAACCAATTAAGAACTGCCAGCGTACTCTACAAAATCGTCTTCAAACTCATGTTTTTTATTTCTTGATTGCAGAAATACTAGAATAATTTTAAATTTGGGTGAAATTCGTTCGCCGCGTACTATTCATTGAGTTTTGATGTGAGCATTTTTCTTATTCTTCTTTTATTTCTTCTGAATATTATTTTTGCATGAAAATCAACCTCATTGGTACGAAATCACACTTCAACCCTTTAATTCGTAGACTTTTTTGTATGGAGAAAATATCTTAATTTGTCATTTTCAACTGCTAATTAAGATTGCTTCATATTGTATGAGAATGGTGTTAGAATTGAAAATTAATACTTCGGTGTAATTATATTGGTAATTAAAAAAATGGTGAGCTATGGGTTAGTGCTTAGCCCAACTAGTTTAATGGAAAATAAGACAATAGAGTAGGTCTAGTAGCTCTCTAAAAGTATGAGCGTTAGATTTCGACCACTAAGCTTTATGTGTAGTTTGACTCGCCTAATCAATTACCATTTTTAATTAAAAAAGCAGTTAAATTCCTTTCAAAGTAAAAAAAGATCATGGCACAGCAACACACCAAAGGAACAAAGAAAGAAAGAAATGGAAAAGCAAAACTTTCTATATTGATTAATCAGCTACTCTCAAATGTTAATCACACTTAAACACACTGTTATAAAAATCACCGCCTAGGCCCTGCCTAAGCACTAGGCGGCTGGCCACCGTCCTGATTAATTCCTAGGCGCTTGAAAAATAAGAAAGGGCACCTAGACATGCTGAGGCGCCTGCCTAGACCGCCTAGGCACCCTCTTAGTCAGCCCAAACCCGCCTAGGCACCCGCCTAAGTTGTGACTCGCTTAGACAGAAAATAGATAACTTTCATTTTGAATTTTATTTTTCTCAATAAATTGTAAGAGACTTGTTGAATACTTAAATGAACACACATTATATGCTTGTTTCCTATTTTTTCATTATGTTCCAATACTTTATAATATATATGTCATTCTATTTTGTAGTTTATGATGAAATTATATATATTTTAAGTATAAATAGACACTTATTTACAAGAAATATAATGCATCCGCCTAGTCCGCCTAGACGCCCGCTTAAGCCCCGCCTAGGCGCTAGGCCCCAGCCCGCCACCCGACTAGCGTCTATCGTCTTTTAGAATCTTGATTTCAATAACTACTTGATGGGGAGAGGGTTACATTTGAGTACATGACATTTTTTTTACCTTCTTAATACTAATTAATCCATGAAATTCAAACATGGAGATTAACCTTTTGGAGGATGGAAACTAGCTTAGCAGGAGTTAATGGTTTCTCTTGGTAATCATCTATGCCTGCTTCCATAAATTCTTGTGCGTCTTCACTGAGAGACGAATGCGACGAAACACCTGCAATCGTACTTCGAATTCCCATCGCACGCAGCGTCCTTGTTGCCTATAATTCAGAAGGAAAAACAAACCAAAAAAAAACCAGTAACTTTAACAAGTAAATTTAGTATAAACTTTCCAGGATTTTGTGTCTTTATTTACATGAAAAAACAAAAAGAAGGGGAACTTTACCTCGATGCCATTCATGACAGGCATATCCATGTCCATGAGAATAAGGTCAAATTGTTTTCCTGAGCAGTGGACATCAATGGCTTCTTTCCCGTTCCCTACAACCTGGATTTCTATGCCATGATTTTCCAACAGTTTGTGGTGAATTATTTGGTTGACCATGCTATCGTCTACGACTAGCGCCGTTATCTTCGTCGTTGCGTTTTTGCTCTTCAACATTTTTCTTCTTTCAAATCTGTGCTTTCCTGGTGTTAAAAAATCTTCATTAATTAATAACTTAATAAACGAAAGTTAAAAAGAAAGTTGTGAGAACCAAAAAAAGACCAATATTCCCAGCATATGCACATCAGAGGTTAATCATATGAGAGATACAATTTGAAGCCTTGAAAACTTCATATTATTGTCCTATCATTGCAAAAATAGGTTGAAACTTCGCTTTTTTTTTAATTTTTTTTTATTACAATCGAGGTTACAACACTAAGAGGAGAGAGATCGTTTAAACTCGAAATGCAGTGGGCGAAAGAGGAACGCACTATCACCGCCACTTGCGGTTTACATTGTTTTCGAAGTCAAGTGCTAAACCAAAAAACCCTAAAAATATTGTTGAAGACACAAAGGTTGAGTACGTACCTCAAGAGAAAGCTGAGATTTCTGCAAGAGATGTTAAGAATGGTGAGATTTCTGCTATGATTGTGAGGCAGAAGAGAGCAGTGAGAGATGGTTTTTTCCATGCTGCAATTCCAATCTATTTATAAAAAACAGCAGCAGAAACTGGAGAAAATGGATGCCAAAAACCAAAAAAAGGGGGAAAAGGATAAAAGTGGCCATGTGGGGGATACACAAGAATATCACTTGGATTCAGTTGGAAATCTTAAAAATCTAACGATGGTGATTATTTCCTTAATTGTTGATATGCATAAATCAGACGCTTCTGCCTTCTTTCGGGGGCATGTATTGCATAAATTTGAAATATGGATGACAGCATGGTAAAAGAAAATTGTTGTATACTTAATTATTGAAGATGCAAGTTAGGTCAGTTGATAAGGTTAGTATATTCGTTCTCTTCCACTTAAGTTCGAATCTTCGACTTCATAAATCAGATCATTGTGATTTAGATTTTAGAAATCGCCTTGTAGCATTTATAGCCTCAAATTTGCTTTTCGTCTAATTTAATAACCCAAATCAGAAGTACAAAGATATTGCCATTACCATGTGATCCAACACGGTACACAACTTCCATACTTTGAAATTTCACCTTTTCTGGTTCACTTCTTTAGGAATCATATAGCTTCTAGACTGGACAATGAGTCTCAAATCAATGGTCAATATAAATTCGTAATGAAGAATATTGTTTCTTAAGCTGCAGTTTATTTATGAGATCTATCTTCTTCGCTTACAACAAGATTTGAACATCTCTTATGGTTTTATCTGTTTTTCGTAGTACATCAACTAGCTTTTAGATTAATTGTATTTCTCCGCCTACTTTTAAACCATTTGTTTTAAGTGATAACGAGGTGTGTGCATGACGGAACATCGTACATTACATTTCACATGTGAGTGAAACATGTGATGCGATTACGCTATGAGTATAAGCGAAACATGTAACGCATTTACTACATAATAACGCTCTGAGTGTGAGGGAAATGCATAATGCGTTTTCGCTCTAAAGAGTGAGTGCACGTAACAAGTCATGTGAAAAAGTAACGTTATTAGCACAAAAGAAATTCGTAGGCATACATTTTCTATGTTCTTGGTAAAATAGTAGTGCTAGTAGTTTCTCATCTTGCTGTTTTGGTTGACAAACCTTGAAAAAAAGACATGCACAACTCTGCCTGATCATTATATGACATTAATGGTGATGGTTAGATGTCACTGTAGTTGGACTAATTAAATATCTGTTGATGCCATAAACCATTTGTTGTTTGGCATGACAAAATTTGAAAGAAAAAAAGAGCTCACAACTCCACCAGGCCATTAGGCACCTAAAAAGTAAAAGGAGTTTTAACGAAAAGCCCACGGTACTGTTCACTTTAATGAAAAACCACATTTTTACACTAAAAAGTCAAATCTGGTACTATTCACTTTACCCTTTATTTTGTCCTTATCATTAAAACTTAAAGTTTTCAAACCATTTTCATTAGTTTTCCTAAGATATGCCCTTGATCAATGAGTGAGAAAGTTTTCCATCTCATATTATACGCAATCAACGATAAGAGAAACAGACATAACCATATACAACTGTTGACAAACAAAAATATCTCGTATATTAGACAACAGAGCCGCCCACATAGAGGCGTAAAAAGGAAAAAAATAGACTCTTCATTCTAGAGGCGCAAAATACACTAAACAAGAATCTTTTAAGAGATTTGGCGTGATTGTGCAGAAGTCTGAAGTTATTTTTGGAATGATTGTACCAAACAATGATCCTAAAATGTCAATACACAGCTGTGCCTTTAGCATTCACCTTTTCACAACCAATATATACATGCACCGAAATCTTAATTTGGATCATATGTATAGCTGTGTGGGGTTATAGGAACAGTGGTAGAGTGGGTTTCTTATGTATTTCATGTCAATTCTTTTTAAGAGGCCAACATACAATATTCGTACCGTTTGTGTGTTTGAATCTAAACAGCAATCTCACATGAGATTCTAGAGACCAAAGAATAGTTTTCATGTCGTGATCCTTGTTGTTTTTTACGGGGCCAACACACATGTTTTATATTTTCTCACTGTTCATTTTTCATGGGCAAATTTTGTCAAGATTTCATAGGGACGGATTTGCACCTTCCACCAATCAACATTGACATTGTCGCAAATATGCATTTATTAACCATATTGCTAACTTAACGGTTGTGACATTTTATCACAAAAGATTTCAATGTTATTAGCATTGAAATCATTCATTATATATCATATTTCCTATTGTCAAGTTTTGGACGTGTGATTGTTTACATTGTTCAACAAATTATTTCACACCAAACGCAAGAGTTCAAAGAATAGTAGAATAAAACAAAAATACGTACTCGTAGATATTATGGAATTTAAACATCAAATATAACATGTTAAACAATAAACATCATAACATAAGAACCAAGGAGGTTGCTAAAAAAAAAAAAACGATCTGGATCCCATCCGGATTCAAATTGTGGGGATCCTAGGGATCCTCACATCTTAACCATTCATCGTACATCATGTGGTAAAAAATTATTTGACTTTTTTATTTAAAATTAAACACAAATAATACCTAATGAAAATTGGTCGCACGATGTATGATGAACGACTAGGATGTAAGGATCCCTAGGATCCCTACACAATGAATCCGAAGAGAATCCTCTTCTCAAATAACTAAGATCGAATTAAGAAAACATATCCATTCCAAGTCAAAATAAGAAGGCGTACATTCATGGAGATTCCATTGGAGCGGTCTTCGGTTTTGGATTGGTGGTTGTGTAATGCAAATTAGGTGACAGGTACATCACCGATAACATCTCCGAGGAGCAGAGGACTATATCCCGTTTGGTTTTTTTATTTTTTATTTTTTATTTTTTTACCAAAAACTGCTTTACTTTAAAGTTAAGCAGTTAAAATGTGCTTGATGGTATTCATCTTCACTCGGAAATGAGAGGTCTTAGGTTCGAATCTCGTAAATAGCGAATCCGATACCAAATTAGGTTGCTCACTGTGTGGCTTAGCCGAACTCTCTCTCTCTCTCTCTCTCTCTCTCTCTCTCTCTCTCTCTCTCTCTCTCTTAGTGTAAAATATTGATGTACTAAAAAAATGTGTTTGATAAAAGTAAAATATCTTGCTTATTTTAAAAGCAATGACCCACAGATGTTGCTTTTAAAAGTTACTTTAATAAAAAGCTGAGTTAAGCTTTTAATGAATATTTTCAATTGATGTAATGCCTTCATTAACTTTTTGAAAATGACGTATATAGTCTTCCACACATTTCCATCTCTTAGAGAGCAAAGTAACCGGTACCACCTACCACCACCATTAATGTTGTCACCACCACCACCACCACCATAACCACAACCTCCACCACTGTGACCACAAGCACAACCACCACTACCACCATTGTCACCACTATCATTGCCACACCGCCACCACCACCATAACCACAACCACAACCCCACCACTGTGACCACAACCGCAATCACCACTACCACTATTGTCACTACCATCATTACCACCACCGCCACCATAACCGCAATTGCCACCATAACCGCAACAGCCACCACTACCACCATTATCACCTCTGCACTCGAACCACCACATCCCACTATTAGCACCACCATTGCAAGCACCACTACCACCACTACCACCACTGTCCCCGCCATTGCTGTCATTGCCCGCACCCCTACTATTATGTCCATTTTGTCATTATATAAAACTATTTGCATTAAAATTTACCAAATGCTTTTACACTATTTTTCAAACTTACAACACTTTTAAAATTCAGTTAACCAAATGCTCATCTGCTTTACTTTACAACTGATTATTCTTAAAGCACAACATAAGTAGTTTTTTTAAAAGAATACAATAATCCCAAATTGGCCCTAAGAAGGTGGGGATAAACAAGTATATTAAGGGCATGTTTATGTAACTACTATAATCGTAATAAAAAAAAAAGTAATTGAATTCCGATTACGGAGTATTCTTATGTTTACTAAATAATAGGAAATCAAAAAGGTGGTAGGACATATGAATTTGGGATTGAATTCCTTGTTTTGAGAGGAATTGGACTCCCTAGTTATAGGAAAGGGATCCTTTCCGGATCCCTTCCATTTTATCATCCTCATCAAACAATCCGGACCCTTGAAATTTGATCCAACGGCTAAAAACACGGACTCACTTTAAAAGTTATAATAACTTTAGCCGTTGGATTAAATTTCAAGGGTCCGAATTATTTGATGAGGAGAATTCGGTAGAAGGGATCCGGGGATCCCTTTCCCTTGTTATAGGTGGTAATCCAATTCAGGAGCATGTGAGAAGTCCGAAATAGAAGCCTTTCACCCATTATACCCCCACTTGAATTTTAAAACTCCAAGATTGCCCCTCACTACCTCCTGACATGCAGCAGCAGCACCCCAGCCCAGTGCCACTCCCACCTCTCCCTGACCACCGCAACCACCCAACACCGCAGCCACCTATTCGTGATGGAAAAATCTGTAATTGATTGTTCTCATTCAAACAAGTCTACGTATATGTTGTTTTGAGAATTAAAATTTATTAACTAGCACATAAAAGAGTTTACTTAGAACATGGCAGTATAGTAATTAAAGTAGGTGTTTGGTAAACCGCTAGTATGGTGTCAGCATTAGTCCTACTCCCATTTCAGACATTTTAGTAAACAACTTCTATAAGAATATGATTTGGATTCCTCATCAATTTAACTCCTCCTAAATTCAATTCTCCCCATTCTAATTACTTAGTAAATGTGCCCTAAGTGTGAAATTGTGTTGTGGCTGAGGATGGCAATGAGGCGGATTGGGTTCGGATGTATCATCACCATAGCCGAACCCATTTATTTTCCCCGAACCCGAAACCGTAGAATTCCCGAACGGGTTTTCCCCATAACCGAACTCATTGGGTAACGGATTCTCTATTGGGCAACGGTTTTTCCCATTATAATATTTTTATATTTTTATATTAATAATTAAATAATAAATTTTAAATAAAAATTAAATAGATTACTAATACAATGCATATACAGCATATATTAATAAGATTAAATATTAAATACTAAATAGTGTTATTAATACAATTGGTACAAACAATGCATGTGATAAATATTGTTAAAACGAGATTAATACTATTAATAATTGAATCAATTGATAAGAATATAATTTATATTATTAATGATTATTGATAACTCTCTTATCGATATAATAAATATTGATTTTTTTTATTAATTCAAAACAGTTCGGTTTCAGGTATGTTTTGGGATGGATACCCCAATAACCATAACCAAACCTGAAACCGAAAAATTTATCCGATGGTTACCCATAACCGTAAAATACCCGAAATTTAATCCCCAAAACTGAACAGTTCAGATCGATTACCTACGGGGAACGGGTTTGATATGTCAAATTGCCATCCCTAGTTGTGGCCGAGTTTTTTCAGGTTGACCAGCAACCAGACGTACATCCCCACGAGTAAAACGCTGAGATCAAGATGGATAAGGTGTAGGGGATGAAGAAGATCTTTTTTAATAGTCCTGTGACAAACTTCATGATTTTTTCAAAATTGTTGTGGGAAACTTGTTGAGTATTCATATGAGAATCGACATGATCAATAACTAGAGGAAGATTTAGGGTTTTATTGTTAAAATATAGAGCTATGATATTTTTGTTATGTATTTGCTAACGCAGGATCCATTCTGACCCCAAGAGGCCTAAAGGAACACTTGCCCAAGGAACACCGGGCAAAAGGAACACAAAGAAGGTTAAGGCCTGATGAACTTAGAAGGAAGAAGTCGAACGCCTCAAGAGCCCGTGGCCTCCAGATGTCCTATCAACAATTAAGGCGACTGCTTCCCCATTAAGTACTTTCCGACCTCTTTGGGGTAAGTTGGTGCACTGACAATTTTGTGGTATGAGTTTTCAGGAATAAAAGGGCAGACCTACTCAAACATCAACTCTAAGCCACGTGGTAGCTAGTCGAGGAGTCGAAGGCCTACGAAGGGACATAAGACTAACAGATAGGGCACTTGGGTATGGGTTTCCACTAACCTCAGGCTAAGCAAGGCGCTCGGTTGCATTGTACCAAGAAAACCCGCAAGTGAACATGCACAAACGTCACCTCGTTGCGACATGTTGGCTAAAGGGTGGAAGGACAACTAGCAAGTCAAACATGTGCATTAAATGCAAAGGAAGTGATAGGTTTGAGCTCAAATGTTTTAAGGCTAAGAGAAAAGCCAATATAAGGACGAGTACTTCTTAGAAGGAATACAACGAATTGAAAGATAAATTATACAGTATCGAGCCGACTCCTATTTGTAATCATGTAGTCTATCAATCCAAGACTCAATAGCTCAATTTTTAGAGTGAACCACTTGAATCTTACTATCAATTTCTTATTATTCGCAAATCCCGTGCCCGGCTAATACACGGCTATCTTAATCTTTGTTAACCTTACCAATTTTAAGCGTTAACAGTATTCTTCTTTACATGGAGACATAAAAAAAATAAAAAAATCTAGTCTTTTGTAGAAAAAGATCTTTAAAAAATAAATAAATAAATAAATTACAATATACTATTTGAACTTAGATGTTCACACCAACATTTAGGTTCTAAATTTTTTCAAAAATTCAATCTCAATAGCACTCTGTAGATTTAGTATGACCCTAATTTATAATTAATGGATCCTTTTTTTTTCTTTTTTTTTTTTGAAACGAAGGTACGATATTCATTAAGCAAATTAGAATACGTACAAACTGAGAGTAGTGTGCATAATGGGTCTTGATAAAAATCTTGTTAGGAATTTCAACCCGGTCAAAGAAAAAGAGCATCCCACACAACAATAAACCTATCCTCAAATGAACAATAAAAAATGAAATTACAATCCCTCCTCAGATAGAATATCTTGAATTAAGTCCGAAGGCTCCTCAAACCATAATACCTCCTGATCACTACTAAATCCCCATCCGAGCCAACCAATGCGCTGCCGAGTGACCTTCCCGCTGGATATGACTGATCTCCGAAGACGCCCAACTCACAAGAAAACACCTCAAATCATTTATTATTGGACCAAAAACTGAACAGTCAGTCCCTTGTCCCTTCATGGCGTCCAATACCAAACTAGCATCCCCTTCACCTCCTCCGGACACTGACTCCTTGCCAACAACATAGCACGGCGAGCTGCAATGAACTCAGCGTGCAGGGCAGATTGTGGTCTCTCAATTGGACCTGCAGCAGCGGCAATAAACTCCCCCATGTGGTTACGCATCACAACCCCAAAACCTCCCCGACGCCCACTTTGACTCCAGGCCCCATCAAAATTGCACTTGATCCAACCCTCCTCAGGCTTCCGCCACTTCTAAACCTCTCGAACAGACCTCTTTGCTGCTGGCTTGTGCCATTTGTGGTATTCCTGCTTCCAACCTTCGGTTCTAAGCACAATCTCTTGTGGTGGTACCACAGTGCCGTTCCATAGGACATCATTCCTATGCTTAATGCTTCCATAGAGCCCAGATCAACATCAAACATAGTTCAAAACCCAAAGTAGGCACCTGCAGATTAATAGATCCTTATAGCCCAGATCAACATTAATGGATCCTTATGCATTAAGAAACTTTTCCTCAAGAGTAGAGCTATTCACACCTGTTTTTATTTTTAACACACCGTTGTTAATTTTTGTTTATTGATTTTTTTCAATTCATTCAATCTGACGACCAGAAATTAAAAAGAGTGAGTGAAAGGTAAAAAAGGGAGTATAGATAGCATCACCCTTCCTCAAATACAAAACCAAACATATCACTAAACCCTAATTATCTCTCTGTAATCCCTGATCCTCTACTACAGTGGTAAAAAGGAATGTTACCCTTACATCACGACATGAGTTCGAATCTGTCAGCTTTCTAATCTAACATATAATCTAATGATTATTTTGGAACGCCAATAATACCACCCGATCCACACCGAAAATGGCCAAACAGAGAACCAAAAATTTACAAAATTCGTTCCATAAATGAATGGTAATTCCAAAACCTTTTGCTTTTATATATATATAAACGCTGTTTGGGAAATTTCGATTACAATATGTGCGCTGTGACGCTAATTGCTTCCCACAAATTGCACTCTTCAGTTCTTCTACCTCCAAACCAGACAAACACGAGAATTTGACGAAAGAATAAGAACATACAAGCATGTGAAGATAACAAAATTACAAAAAATTTGAAGTCAAAATGCATTCACACAATATACAAAAATACACAACACGATGAACGACGCAACACCGGAAACCCAGAATTCCTGCCTAAACAAACCGCGCTAATCATGGTTGGTGTCAATTGACGTGCCCGTCCTGGCCTGTGAAATTCTGTTGGCGTAAATAGTCACCAGCCGTAACTGCGTGCTGTTGAGTCCCTCCAGGTATGGCAAGAACGCTTTTCCTAGCATGATGTATATATCGACTAAACAGAAGACAACAGTCTGTATAACATAAAATGAAAAAATTCAGTCACCCGCACCAGATGACTATATGCTGAACATAATTGACTCCCATGGGCCAATGTGTAGTTTAAGGGATCAGACAAATAGTAACCGTTACCTTGCGAACGTCAGCACTCTGGTTTCCAAACGCTTCGAAAAGTGCAGGCAAAAATGATGGCAACTGAGCCATCAATTCCTCTTGTGAAAGCCGGCCCACAAGCTGAAGAATGGAACATAAGAGCCTTAGCAAGATAGTTCATAAAAACTACGCATGAAATGGCATGATGCAAAATAACTCCTAAACTAGAATTTAATGTGTGCAATCAATAGTGTTCATAAACAAGCTAATACAGCTCCGGAAGCGTATACCTTTGTCAAACAGTTGATGCAAGTAACAAGAGTTTTCTCATCTTCAGTTACCAACAGAGGGACAATAACCTGCAGCATCGACAACTGATTGTTAAACGGTACTCGCAACAAAGTACAGGGGAAATAAGCCAAACATAACTCAAAGGTTTCTGATATCTTAATTTATTTTTCACTTCTAAACAACTGGATTAGTAGGGAGCTGGATCGTAAGTACGTACGCTTAGACATCTGAATGGATCATACTGGGCCAAAACGATACTCAAGCAGTGCTCGGATTCATTTGAAACCTAACAGGAATATTGTATAGTTTGAGCCATCAAAACAGTGTAAGTCCAGAATAAAATAATTAATGCAACAAAATTTACCTTGGGAACGACATCCTTCGTAACATGAAGCAGCTTCTCAATTACGACCTCAACAGAATCTTCCATTGCATCTTTCTGGAAACAAATGAAAGCAACATCAGGAATACAATTTGTAAGAGCTATACAATTTCCAGTCAATACGTATCCAAAAAAATAAACAACAAACCTGGTTCTTAAGCATTTCAACAATCAAGGAAAGAGAGAGTTCCCGAATCGAGGACTCAAAATCATCCAACACCTCGAGTATAACAGTCAAAATCTGATTGAAGTACTGCACATGCACCACAGAACAATCATTAATATACGATTGAGTAATTACATTAAAGAATTCTAGTTTACCCACAAAAATGTGTATAAGTAGTTTGTTTCTCTAGTGCAATAAAAAATGTGTTTCCTCATCCATTTGACTTCACTGTGCAGTCAACAGAATCAACATTGAAATCCATGTCTACGTATCAACTATTAAGCCAATTCTCAATGCTACTATGATCCTGAAAGCTAACACCATTTCAAAGTTACAAAATTTATGACGAGATTTACAAGCATTCTACAAATGAAAGAAAGGTAAAACAATACAAATATGGACACGTTGTAATATTCTCTCCGTCTCCTTTGATCAATAACCAAACATTTGTCAACTTCTCTTTTTTTTTTTTTTTTGAAAAGAAAAGAAAGAATTTTATAAAATGAAAGAATTACAAAAGAGAAAAAGTAAACCACGTGGAAAAGATATCCACCTGGAGCTAGAAGAAAACTAGCAAAGACCCCTAAAGAAAACTAATTGAACAGAGGAAAAGCTAGACCAAATCAATTAACGGCTGCTAACAAATCCCTAAAAATAGAAGAGAAATTGTAATCTCTAAACTCCACTGAAACCGAAGCCCAAAGGGCTGCCCAGTGTTTTACTCTATCCCAAAGCTCCTCAACCCCCACTCCCTTGTAATCCTCAAAGACTCTTTTATTACGCTCCAACCAAATGTTCCAGAAGAGGGCCATCAACAGAGATCCCCACAAAGTTTTGGTCTTCCCGTTTTCTTATCTTCGTATAAATGTTTAAATAATTTTTTAAAACATTACACATACGTTAAAAAAGACAGAAAATGTGTCATGTGTCAGGGCTAACAAACCTTGGTCCAAAGAGAGTGGTCATTAGTTATGGAAGCATCAATTAATTGTTGAAGTGCACCACGTTTGCTTGCTGTAGGGCTTTCCTCACTTCCATTGCTGATCTATACACACATTCAATTAACAGAAAAGAAATAACATGACATTAAGCTCGATTGTAAAAGAATATATCAATACATTTTTTGTCACAACAGTTGACTGTTTAGAGAAGTAGATTACTGGTTCAATTATCCAAAACAAATTCATCACAATAATAAAAGCCTAGAAAAGTAAAAAGTTCTATAACAAAATACTGATAATAAACTTACTCTCTAAGGAAAATTTTGAGCTTGTTAAGCAAAAGAACTCACCAGATGAAGTATTTGAGGAATGCTGGGACCTGATTCTGGTGCAGAATTAACCTTCACAGCTGTAAGTTTATATTGATTAGGGTCCAAGTCGGTGGGAGCTTCACTATCATGCCCAAGAGTCTCAGCAACCCCTATATGGTCCAAGCTCATAAGACCATTAACGTCCAGGCAAGAAGTAGACAAGCTTTCTAAATTTACTCTACCATCAACTTTATCCACTGGGCTAGTCCAGGAGCAGAAGTTCTGACACATGGAATTCATAGTGTAAGACATATCCTTGGATTTTGGATTGAGAACATCAGTGTTGGAACCAGTCTCAAAATTCTGATACAAGTTCTCCCGTGTGTCATCAGAAGCTGCTTGGCCAACAGGGCCGGTGACCATGGCTGATTCTTGGGTTGAACTCCACTTCCTGCCGCCATCACTATCAACTGAACCAGCAGAATACCTCCCAAAGAAGTGACTTTTCTTTGAGGCGCTAACATATCCTTCTTCAGAAGATGTTCCAACTACATCAGATGGATCATAAGACTTGAGGCGCTGTCGCTCTTTCTTGTTTTGCAAGAAGTTCATAAGGTCCACTTCAATGCGAGGAGTGTACTGTTTCAGGGCCCTTCTCAAAGAATTTTGTTCTTCAACTGACAAACTAAGAATAAAATTCAAGACAGCTACTGAATCAAAGTGAGAGTAAACGGATATTATGCACGTAATGGCTGCCTCCTTTAGTTTAGTATTTTTCTCATGGGCCAATGGTGCCAACTTAGAAAGCCATAATTTAAGGATGCCACTATTACCAGAACCTTCAGGATTCAGTGAATGCTTGTTTAAAGAACCAATGGAAAACTCAATAACAGCTAGTTTGGCCTTTGGTGATCGCTGTTCATCAAGTGAACGGAGCAACGCAGGCAAGAGGGAATCTACACTGTACGTTTTGCTAACAATATCTAACGTTGTCGAACACGGCTGCCTAACTAACTCCTTTGGGTCAATTAACCGTGAGAAAACATGGGGTAGGATCCTTTCCATGTAACTTTCAAAGGGCTTACGGCAAGATGGAATAATATCTGCTAGTGTTGTAAGTGCTGCCTGAGCAACTTTATGGTGGGGATCATCCAAGTGTTGGAAAAATAACTTCATTACTTTCTCAAAATTCTGAATCACTTCTTGAATTCCCCTTGGGCCTTGCTGCAGCAAAGATCGTAGATAATTAAATGCAGCAACCCTAGCATTCCAGTCAGACGATGGACTCAGTCCCTCACTCAGAGCATCATTTAGAGATGCGGGACCTTCTACATAATTTGACATTTCCCTGAGTGAGAGTTGGCTATCATCAAAACTTCTCCTCCTGCCTGCAGACATCCTTCCAGTCACATTCTTTCTTAAGAGTGGCCTTTGAAAATTCGGCACATGATTGCTATGTGAATCCCTAAAGTTCCCATCTCTGTGAGACGTGTCATAGTGCCTATCGATTTGAGAGTTCATAAACCGTCTAGCCTCCCTAGTGTCATTGTTCTCTTCGATCGAACCTCTTTCTTGAGTTCTCTCGGAAGCTCTCCTCATTGCGTATGAAGAAA